TTGTGTGTGTGTGTGTGTGTGTGTGTGTGTGTGTGTGTGTGTGTGTGTGTGTGTGTTCTTTCTCTGAAGGCAGACCGGTGCTAGCACTCGCAATTGAAATACATAGGCCTCTTCTTGGACATGCACAGTTCACGGGTTATTTTCTAGTACTACTACGAGCCAATTTAATGCTTCCACTTCATACAATGCGACCTAAGAAGTTGGCGTTATATTAGGCAAAGCGCTATAGACCGACAGCACCTTGCCAATCAAATTTTTAAAATTTAATCTGGGCCAGCCAGATTTGTATTTGTGGATGGGACAAAAGGTAACGTTTTAATTGGCACAATTCGACCAAATTCGTCTAAATTCGATTGTGAACTTCAAAATCAAACGTGCCTGTTTTTTAAGGTTTCGGGTGTACCAAATCATGCCAAGAAGCTTAGTCATTCTACATGAAAGCCCCATGAGATTGATTTCTTGGCTTCGAAATTTCAAGACAAAATACCCAACACCGAAGTTCTCAAAAATAACTAATGCCGAGAGTCTGTTTTCTTAATTCAAAAAGACTCAGCTTAGCTGGGCTAGCCTCACCATTATATATATCACCCTTGAAAGCATGATAAGCACTTTTCATTTTTGTTCACAAAATGGAAAAAAAATGAAATGAGAGCTGTGATGAAATTCCTTCATATCCAAGAAAAAACAAAACACGGTCTGTACACAATGAAATGTCAGTAGTGTTTGGACCATAGAGATATCTGCCCAAGCTATGATGTGGTCAAATATTGGTGCAAGCTATTCAAATGTGGTAACATGTCCATTGAAGACAACCCTCGAAAAGGTCGCCCTATCTCACTTCAGCCGTGACTGAAGACAATGTTTCAAAAGTAAAGAAGATTGTACTGAATGACAGGCGCGTTACTCTCGGTCAACTTTGTATGGAAACTGGCTTGAGCTATGAATCTGTTGAGACAATTCTTCATGACCATTTGAATATATGTCGAAAGTGTTAGCAAGATGGGTAAAGAACAGACATATCAGTCAGCAAATGATTGACATGTTTGATGAAGATTCTGACAACTTTTTGACCGTTTAGTAACATGACAGTGGGTGAAAGCTGGGTCTATCACTTCGACCCTGAGTCAAATTATGCGTCAAAGCAATGGAAAACACCATCTTCCCCCAACCCACAAAAAAGCCAATGTGTAGAATTCATCTGGCAAGGTGGTTGTTATCGGTGTTTTGGGATCAGGATGGGATAATACTTACGGAATATCTACAAAAGGGTCACACTATCACAGGGGACTAATATTCAGACTTGTTAAAGAGATTGAAGGTAGCTCTGGAGGAAAAACGACGAGGCAAACTGAGGAAAGGTGTCTTTTTGCTTCATGACTTGCCCGGCGCACGCGTCGCGTTAGGCGATATCCACTGCTGAGGAATGCGGGTATGAAATATTGCCACCAGAGCTGTTAAAGTACTTTAAAAAAGGTATTTAAGTACAAATTTTAGTACAATCTGAAATATGTGCTTAAGTACAGTAAAAGTACTTTCCTGTAAAATGTACTTGAGTACAAGTACTTTTTAAAAAAAGTACTTATGAGTACATTTTGAGTACTTTCTGCTAATATGCTAAAATACTTCATTGCTAATGCAAAACATCATATTGAATAACATATCCTGTATATTTGACAAATTAGTCCATGTATTACTAAAAATGCGAACAGTATACAAAGCCTTTGAATATTCGCAATGAACGTAGGTGGAAATGGTCCGTGAAATTGAAAAACAAAACAAAAAACAAACAGACGCAACTAGTGAGTAGGTGATATTAGGAATAGAACTTGTTTGAGCAAGACAATATGATCAAATGTAAGTCAGTCCTTGAGGTCGGAAAGTAGGAAAAGTATCCAAATTGGAAAATGTGGAGACAAAGTTGCTCTTAAGAAAACATAAAATTGATGAAAATGGCCAGCAAAGAAAAGGAAAAGGCACGAACCTCAAAAAGAGTGTGTTTGTTTAAAATTAGGTAGCCTAAAAAATGGTTAGATACACTGAGAACTCAGTTTCAGTTTCAATTCATTATAATAATAGTGGTAAGACAGATTTTGGTCACACTGTGTAGTCCACGGCGCCCACGGCAAAACAAAATACATGTAGTTTACTACAGTCTAGTAAGTGTAGTGTAACCAAAGATTCTCTATTACAGTAGTCTCCGCCTTAGATCCCAGTGCTCGGGAGCAAGGGAAATACGGGATCTTAGCCGACGAAGCCAAGGAAGAATCTACAGTGACGTGACCCATGAACTGACTCAGGTAAAAGGTGGGTTTATGACAGATGACGAGCAAAGAGTGGTTAACCTTGATGACCAATCACAGTGATATGGTGGCATGAGGCATGCCATACATACACTCATTAGCCTATCGAGAGTCTCGAGATCTTTATCTACGTTTATCCAGTTTCCCCTTCCCTTTACCTGTCCAAAAATGTTACCCTTCCATCTCTGATTGTCCCTCCGCCTTTGCCGTTACGCACCATTACGTCTCACAACGTTGTGACCACACCAAATTAAAATTCAGACTGTCTCGCAAATTCGGGAATAGAGAAAAACTGTCTTCAAGGGTAAGGGAAGAGTTCACAGTTCGATGTGATCCTGCCGGGTGCGAGCTTGTAAGCCCTACCCACCCTGCGAGTGATGTAAGTTTAGGGGGCGAGCTCAGATGCGAGTGCGATGTTCGGGGAATTGAAACACATCGGTCAGTTCACACCTCGGTGTGATCCCGTCTGGGGAAAACATTGTACCGTTTCATGGAGTTTTACAACGCTTTGTGATCACATTCAGGAGAGTGGCTGATCTTTGACGCGACGGGCGTTCTTTGATCTCGACTCTTGGTTGATCGGCTGTGTCCGCCCTGGTGTTTGTTCCGTAAATTATGATCAGAAATGCCGGCACTTACTCTTTCATTAAGTGTCAAAAGTACTCAAAATGTACTTTAAAAATACTCAAAAGTACTTTTATAAAAAGTATCGGAGTAGAGTAAAAGTACTGGTTCTCAAAAATGTACCGGAGTACAGTAAAAGTACCGAAAATTGTAACGTAAGTACAAGTACTCCGTTACAACCAGCTCTGATAGCCACACCCACCGTATTCCCCCGACTTAGCACCTCCAGAGTTTGTTTTTTTTAATTCTCAAATTTGAAGAAACACATGAAAGGCAGAAGATTTGAAACAGATGATGACGTCGTAAACGAAGCGGAACACTTTATTAAAAGGCAAAATCGATGATTTTTTCTAAAGGACTTTTCAAGGTCATTCATCGCTGGCAAATATTATGTGTTCTTGCGGCTGGTGACTACATATATAGAGAAATAAGTGTCTACATACCAGATTTCAAGTTCGTAGCTCCACTCCTTTATACTCAGGTAAAAAACGTATTGATATCCCCTCGTGTGTGTGTTGTGTCACGACACGGTGGAATCAGGCTCTCGTCAATTTTGGGGCATGTAGAGTTATTGGTATCATCTTAAAGCTTGTGATTTTCTTGCTTTGTAAGAAAAAAAAAATCCATTTATCTTGAATAGAAATCCAGCTTTAGTTCCGGTATCCTCGGGCAGCAGTCACGGGAGGCAGCAAGTCATGCAGGGCTTCACGAATAAGAAACGCGCGAAACCAAGAGAGAAGCCCGCAAGCTGGGCACATCCTTAATTGGAAATGAAGCTTTAAATTTTTTAATGCTCAAAATATGGCAAAATTTACTCTGTCAGATAGGGTCTCATGCCTCAGAAGCCACTGGTGATCGCATCTTTGATTCATATATTTTACGTGAGAAATGTTTGATATCCTCCTCTTCGGATCCATTGATCATCGTCAGATCTTGACGGACGAATAGTAGTAGTAGTAGTAGTAGTAGTAGTAGTAGTAGTAGTAGTAGTAGTAGTAGTAGTAGTAGTAGTAGTAGTAGTAGCAGTAGTAGTAGCAGCAGTAGTAACACTAGTAGTAGTAGTAATAGTAGTAGTAGTGGTGGTAGTAGAGTAGTAGTAGTGGTGGTAGTAGAGTAGTAATAGTAGTAGTAGTAGTAGTAGTAGTAGTAGTAGTAGTAGTAGTAGTAGTAGTAGTAGTAGTAGTC